GAGATCTTACAACTCCGAAAACTGAGACATCTCGTAATAAGTAGCTATGAGGGCTATGTTGCACATTCAAATGCTCCAATCGAGAAGATTCTAGGTTTCAAGCTACCGAATGGAATCGAAGCTCTAAACTGTTTATACCAACTGGCTTTCATTGAGGCAATCCCTGGCACAATAGAAGAGATAGGGAACATAAAAGCACTGAGAAGGCTTTTTATATTCAAATTGGGAAGAGAGCATGGAAGGATGGTCTGCTCATCCATTGAAAAGCTCCAAAATCTTCAATCATTAGCCTTGTTTCCAAAAACAGAAAATGAGATCCTTGACTTGGATCACATTTCATCCCCTCCTGCATCCCTTCAGGAGCTCTCTATGTCAGGACGTCTAGAAAAATTTCCGCATTGGATAAAATCTCTCAATAACTTGGTTAAAGTTTATTTCAGGTGGAGTCAGTTACAAGATGATCCACTTCAGTATCTCCAAGATTTGCCAAGCTTGGTCCGTCTTGAAATTTTTGATGGATATGTTGGTGAAGAACTATGTTTCAAGGCGGGAAAGTTTCTAAGTCTTCAAAAGTTATATCTTGACAAGTTTGAACCTCTAAAACAGGTGATAATTGAGAAGGGGGCAATGCCAAATCTGAGAAGGATAAAGATTCAGCGGTGCAAATATCTGGAGAGGGTTCCATATGGTATTGAATGCCTTACCAAGATGGAAGTTCTTAAACTTTTCTACATGAGTCCACAGTTCATTGACAAACTGTCTCATGAAGATAACCATAAAGTTGCACACATTCCGAAAGTACTGAAGGATGATGCCGAGAAAATGGATGATGATTGAGATTTTAGTTATCTTTTAATTATTATTTTATTAAATAAATTCAGATTTTAATTCCATCTTTCGGAATAATTCTGAATATTTAGTCTTTTTCTAGATTTTAATCTTTATCTAGTTTTTGGTTATTGCTTTAAAATAATAGTTGTAAGCCTTAATGGCAAAAAAGTAGATTTTTAATAATTATAATAGAGTTTGAAATTTTAGGTCTTTTAAATTCTCCGTATTTGATATTTAAAATCATCGAGTCCAATATTCCTCTGTATTGGTGCACGAATCAAATAGTTTTGATGCCTAGAATTCCAACGGTCTTAGGAATCAACAGAAAATAGAAGGTGATCATGTTGTAATATTCATTTGGACATATTATTTTATCGCTTTTACCTTGTATTAGAAACTCATACATTCAAGACCAAGAATGAAATTTGTACACATTATTAGCTTCTAATGCAACTCATCCAATTTGTTTTAACTAGAATCTATTATAAATTGACTATAATTCATCAAAATACTGCACTGGTGAATATACAAATAAGAATATGTATTCACAATGTCGAAATAAAGTGGACTTCTGTTATAGTTTTGCAAAGATGATTTCATTACTTTGTCAAAATTTTCACAATTTCTTTTATTCTCCAATAAAGCGACTAGCTAATTTATTCTTATTTAAATAATATGAGTCCTACAATGAAACCATTATAGGTTTTGAATCTTTAACTTCTGTTGCATTTTGATGCTTAACCTCCATATAGAAGCATCGGAACTCTGATCTCTTCTTTCTTTGTGGATCAAGGCGAATCTGTACTAATAAATTATATTTGTAATACAAATAATGTCTTTATTAACACGTATATTTGACTCTAAAAGATGAGGTGATTTAAAATTGTGAGGATATGGTTCATCTAACCCCACCACCTAATGTTGTGACTTGATGGGAGTGAGGTTGACACAATAAGGTCTTCCCTTCTTTTGGCAGAGGCATGGTCTTTCTTCCTACCCCTTCATTATGTACACTCTACCATTTTCAAATAAAGGGGGGGGCAGCTCACGTTTTTGAGAAGACCCAGCAGAAGGTGGAGCTCTCGTTTTTCATAGAAGGGTGGTGGTTCTTCATTGGTTTTTTCCCCTCTCTCTTTGGAAGGCAATTGGCATAGCATGGGGCTGTTCCTGAGCCTGAAAAACTGCCATAAGAGGTGAAGAAGAAGCTGCCGGCAGAAGAAGAAGAAGAAGCTTGACAGATTCCGGCTGAAGAGGGGTTGTATTCTTCCACTTTTATTTTCTTGTTTTTGCCTTGAATCTTGTTTGTTGATCGTTGTTTTGGTAGTTTGAACTCCTAGGATCCCCAACAAACTGGTATCAGAGCTAGGAGGAGTGATATTAGTCCAAAAATCGATAAAAAACCAGCAAGAAATCACCATTTTCACATTCTAACCGAATCTGAAAAACTTGATTTCCGGCCAACCGATTGACTTTCCGGCGAAATGGACCATGGAACCATGACCAGCAGGAGGAGGCGCACCCTGTGGTGGGGCGCGTGACCGGCGGCGGGCGGCTCCGGCGGCGGCGGAGGCAATACAATGAAAAACCACACAAATTTCATGCAAGGCATTGGGTATTTGTAGTTAAAGGTAATTAGGTAATTTGAAACACGTAAAACTCTTCAAAAACACAAAGTAGGGTTTTACACGTAAACCTGTCACTCACGCGAGAGCTTAGTTATAGCTGGACTACGGTCTGTTGCTTGAACAAGACATGGATGATAGAGCGAGCAACGAGGTTCCTATTTTTTGTCGCTCGAGCAACGCCCAGGTGATAGGCTAGCGAAATTACGACGTCTCTTCTTTCCTTACTCCAAACTCAAATCCTAATCTACCTAACTCAACTATACAAAATTACGACTAACTCCTTGACTTTTTACAACATATTTAATTTAGTTCTTTTGTTCACATAATTGCCAATTACATAAAGCATAACAAACTCCTCTTTTGGCATTCTGTGATAAAATCATATAATTAAAGTTAAGGTAGTAAAAACACAATAATCTAATCTTCCCAAACTCTGTTTCTTGCATTCCTTGCTAAATCTATTTCCAGAAAACAACAACTCAAATACCAACTGTAGAAGCACTTGATACAAAAAATATAGCAATTTAGGCACATGATCATACATAAGAATGCTAAATGAGAAGTAATACTAATGTCAATCAAACACATCAGCCAAAACATTAGTATTACAAAACATCAAAAGCTCAAACAGCTATACATTATGATATGGAATGCAATGAAAATAATCAATATCTCCTTATTGGAAACTCTAATCAATCTCCCCCAACATGCAATTCTCTTTCAAGGTATAAAGATATAATGTTATAGATGATATTGATATAGTCTTTATCCCCTATCGAAATAATTACTCTCCCATTTTTTTGTCACAAATGACGAAATGATCAATATCAAAATTTTTAACATCAATACAATAACTCAAAATATGCAGTTGATAGCATGAACAAGAATAATCAATGATCAGTAAACCTTTCCACATACTCAGTCCAAGTTAACATGGAGTAAATTATATAAGTGACCCATGTTTGTAAAGTGTCACTAATCCTTGCTAAGCAAAACTCCAAACCTTAATTTTGTGAGAATGGACATGCTAAGCATCACTGTTAATAAGTTTATTCCTCTATTTATGATAGTTAAACCATTTAAAGCACATTAGAACATTTAAATCAAAGCTCATTTTGTGTGGATATTTTCTTTTCTTCCCCTAACTTTGATCATATATAAATTTTATACATATCCTTCAATATTTTTTAAGCTCATCATATTTTACATCTTAAGTGTAGGTCTTTTTCCATTAACTAACTAAGATGACCTTGTAGCGAACTTTAGGCCAATTAATCCAAGTCAGTTGACTATAGGCACCAGGTTATGAGAAAGCCCGCAGGCTTAATTGCTTGAGTCAAATAGGTTCCGAAGAAGAATATAAGATATTGAGATTTTTTTTTCAATTCATAAGTTCCATTGTCGATGTAATGTTTTGAGTGAAAGAAAAAGAAAAAAACAACGAAAAAAAGAAAGGAAAAAGGAAGTGATGGAAGAAATAGTTTTTAATGTTACAAACTATCTATATTCACATTTTCTCCTAGCATTAAATGAGATAGATGCAAATCAAAGAAATTGTGAGTGGAGTGATTGGTTATGCATGTATTACACGTATTTGAGTTTGAGTTGTTACATTTTTTTTTTTGCTCCATTAGTTTCGATGGCTTTTGAGCTACATTCTCAAATACTTCCCACCTTATGCCAAAGCCACCTTACAACCCTTGAAAAGTCCTTGTGATTCGTGTTATGCAGGTGATCTAAATGGTGGCAAGTGAGAAGATATGAAAGCATATGGTAGATCATTTCCATTGAAATGAATTTGAGCAAAACACATACCCTTTAAACACATGAGAGTCGAGTACTTATTTCCATAAGGTTCTGCATGTTTAGTTTACTCCATTTTCGAAAGAAAATGCTTACTAAGTAATTATGTGTTGTCTGATCATGTTTATTCATGATATATTATGTATTTTAAAGAGTTTGGTTGTTTTATGTCGATAGCATTGCAACCTTGATGTTTTTGGTGAAGTAAATTTGAATTTTGCTTGAGGATGAACGAAAGTTAAGTAGGAGAATTTGATGAGAATGTAAAATGTTATATTATTCCTCTCTTAATATGTATGCTTTTATAATTATTTGGTGCCTAAATGTACTCATTATTCTTGTATTTTGATTTAGGATGCAAATTGATGAATGTAGCGAAAATTAGGATAGACAAGTGGAAAATGACCAAAATGGAAGAAAACTAAAGTTTAGGGACCAAAGTGCAAATAGTTGAAAGATGACCCGGAAGCATAAACAAGGATGTGAAAGAGTTAATGACCAATTTGTTGAAGACATGAAGTGTTGGAAAAAGAAGAAATGACAAAAAAAGGTCAAGAAATGAGAAAACGTGTTTGAGGGCTAAAACATAAATGTTGTAAGTTGAGTAACATGTATCTTCATAGAATTGAAGGGGTGATTTTAGTTGAACTATGCGGTCTCATCGAAATATACTATGCGGTTGCATAGTACAATTTCAGTCAAAAAATTTTGGTTTCCTTATTTGATTAAAACTTTTATGGAAACAATTCAAGAACCTTTTTTTAAACCCTATGACCGTCCAAAAGAAGGACACACGCCTCCCATCACCTTCTCCTCTCTTTGAGACTTTCAATTTTCGTGTCTGGTTAATTCTTGTACTTAGTCAAAGGAAACTGAAGCCTCGAGACAAATTAAACTGTGAGATCTAAATTATTTTCATTGTTTAATTCATGTTTTGAGTATTGAATATTCTTCTACATGTATTTTCATAATTGTTGTGTTTAATTACTTGGAGGCCTACTAATTTATTATATGCTACAATCTGTTGATTGATTAATATCAAATCCGTAATTGTTTGATTCATTTAACTAGTGAAGTAACTAGGATTTAATGGCTTGTTGCGTTAGAAATTGTTAAATCTTGGGACGAACGTATGAGTAGATCAAATATAACCACTTGTGCTTGTATTATTTATATTCATCGATCTCTCTAATTCTTAGGGCTGTTATTAGATTAAACCTTAGCACATTTCTTAGGTTGTCTAGTAATTAAGGTTAATTGGATCGCTTGTTTTCTAATTAACTACAATTAAGGATAGATAGGAAATTAATTCCAATGATGAATGCTAAAAATATGAATTGATATTTATATATGGATCAATGATCAGTTGTGAACTTTTGACGGTGGATGTTAACTTAGATCAAGGTTTGTTCTTTTTATTTATTTCGATCCGTCAATTAGCATTGCTTATTAGTTATTTTCTTTAGATTGGTTGTGTTATAATAAAAAACCTTCTTCATTGTTTACATAGCATAAAGTTAGATTAGACACTTTTTGTGTGAACGATCCTTACTCGCACTATTACCTAGATTTCTAGGA